ACCAACAACCACTTTTTAGTTCAAGCTACCACCACTAGCTACCACCACTATAACTACATTCATGGTTTTATCATTCTCCCACCACCGTTACTAATCATTTCTACCAATTTACAATTTCTACCAATTTACAATAACTTTTAGTTAATTATATTATCATTGTCTCCAACCCCTTGCAACATTACTATCAGATCATATCATATAGACCCATTATTAAATTAAACTACCCTCTCACCCAGCACATTAAATATAAATTAACCAATAAGGATTACAAATTTCTACCTGTTACATATACACAGTCACTAAAAACAAATAACCAGCTTTAAATATAACAAATAAACCCCCATTTTTTTCGAAAATTTAAAAACAAATATAAATAATAATAATTTTTACCTATCATAATTTTACACAAACCCCACCACACGTATATACGTACATGCAAGGAAATATTATTCAGCGGAAAAAAAAAAATAATATGACATGTATACATTCACGAGACATTTCCGCCACACTTCCAATCTTTAAATTTCAACATACAAATGCGTATGTATAGACCCAACACCACCCACATACATACATATGTCATATCCGAAACTGCCCACATATGTTTATATATGTATGAGTCTCGACAGACGACCAAGTATGTATATGTGTCTGCATACATCGATGTTTGCGTTAGTACGCTGACATAAGCTACAAAGTTTCCCCCATCACTTCCACAATGACACCAATACATGCAATCTACATAAACCCAAATTTTTTAAAAAATTAATCAGTTTGTCTGACGATCGCTAAAGCGTGAAACCCAGGGTCACAAACTCACATCTATCCAACCAAAATATATATATATATATATATATATATATATATATATATATACATATATATATATATATATATATATATATATATATATATATATATATATATATATATAAAAGGCCAATGTTTTTCTACTGATTTGTTATTTCTGTCCAATTTATTTCCAATTCCAACATTGTGTTCTTATCACTCAATACCTTGATAATATGACTACATTGGATCTTTTACGACTCATGGCAGTTTCTATATATTTATGTATATCCCCAGAGCACAGCATAGTAGGGGCAGTTGGGTATCGTCTGTGAGGAAAAGAGCACCATGACGCAAATCACTCTGCCGATGACATGATGAAAAATACCATTGAAGTCAATTTGCTTAATTCTTAGTAAGTCATAAATATTCGTCAATATACTTGCAGGGGGAGTATCTGTTATCTTTCATGACTGTAATACAAGTTTTCAAATTTGCATAGACCCAGGACAAGCAAATATACAGAACTGAATGCATCGTGAGACTGAAAATAAGGTATGAATTATGAAACTTATTACTTGGGGAAATGTTGAATTAACTGCTTTTGTTGATGAGACATGGTGGAGTAATGGATAGTGGCTCAGATTAAGAAATCAGAGTGACAAGTTCGAATTCCAATTGAATCCATATAAACAGTATTAAATAACATTTACCGGCCTAAATGTCCGAGAAATTTTCATAGAAAATATTCATCCTTTGACAGGATTCGAAAAGGACGAATATTTTCTATGAAAATTTCTCGGACATTCAGGCTGGTAAATGTTATTTAATACTATTTATTATAAACAAACATTTACTTAAATACTTGTATCTATAAAAGAACGTTAAACAAAAAAAAATAGTCTTTAATATATATATATATATATATATATATATATATATGTGTGTGTGTGTGTGTGTGTGTGTGTGTGTATATTAATTTAGATGTTTACATACATACATATATATATATATATATTTATATATATATATACATATTTTACATATATGGATATATATATATACATATATATGAGCTGACTTATATATATATATATATATATATATATATATATATATATGTATTAGGACCTTGAATAAGTTCTTACTGTTTTCCAATGTATGACATGACCAGAACTGTGTGCATGTAGTTTCAGATGGTAACACATCTGTAAGGGAGTACTCTAAGTAAGCTTGAAATTCAGCATATGTCATTTCGCCAAAGTGTAAACAACTGTGTTTTTCTTTGCGTTAAACATGTCGAATTTCATGCCAAAGAAAGTGTATTTGTGGGGAATTTTACTGCACTGCTTTATTCAAAAGAAATCTACAACTGAATCACACAGAATTCTTGTTGAGACTTACAGCAACCATGCTCTATTGGAAACAACATGCAAAGTTTGGTTTAGATGCTTCAAAAATAAGGATTTTGATGTTGAAGATAAAGAATGCTCTGGCACACTGAAAAGTTTGAAGACAAAGAATTGGAATGAGTGCAGCTGTTATATTTAACAGTCCCCCCACAAGGAATGTATGTGGCACAAGGCCGAGTTTAACGTGGGTTTTTCCGAGCCCGTCACTGAGCATATATGGTAATATTCTGATAAAATGTTTACGAGCATATTCATAGTCATCTTTTGGAAGCTGAATATCTTAATAGCCAAACGTCATCTATTTCTGGATTCTTTTATCTTGTCAAAAGAGGGAGATTTCAAATCAAAATTTTATTTCTTTTCTCATCTTTTTTCCTAATTTTCTTTCTTACCAAAAATAGTGGTAGATTCAAATCAAATTCTTATTGTATTATTTCAAAAAGTCATCTTTTATTTTGAAAGGTCATTTTCTTCCCTAAGTTTCTGACATAAAAGGGTAGATTCAAATCAAAATAATTTTTTTTTATTTCTAAAGGTATTCTTTTTTTAAATTGTTATTTTTGTATTTGATTACTTCTTAAAAAAAAGATTAGGAAGAAAGATGCCTATCTTTTTGTTAATCTTTTTTATAAAACATGAGATATTTGAAATCAAATTTCAGTTACTTTTTTTTAGACGTCATCATTTTTTAATATTCCTTCTTATAAAGAAAGGATAATTCTCAATCAAAACGTCCTTCTGTTTATATCCTTATTTTATTTGTTTCATCCCTGTAAAACAATGAGACCTAATTGCCTACCTAGTAGTATGACTTCAACTAAGGTACCAACGAGATATGATGTTTATGAGCATATTCATAGTCATCTTTTGGAAGCCAAATATCTTAATAGCCAAACATCATCTAAAACTAGTGGTAGATTCAAATCAAATTTTTATTGTATTACTTTGAAAAGTAATCTTTTATGTTG